CAAAAAAAGCTCAAACTGAACGCCAAAAAAAAAAAAAAAACAAGGACAAATAGAAGTATAGGCAACACTAGGTGTGTTGTCTCTACCTCTATTTGTTCTTGTTTTTCTTTTTTTTCTTTTTTGCATTTAGTTTGAGATGAAAAACCAACTAGTTCAACTCACCATTTTACCACTATTTGGTCACTTTTGCTAACAAACGAATTGGGTATGTTCTAGTGATAACGTTTCTTTGATGAACCATTTCCGATCCTCTAGAAAAGGTTCGGACAAATGTGGGCATTTTTTAAAGAAATATATAAGACCAAAAATCCCAGAGAATTGATAGTTACCATGCTCATTTCATTTGAGTTCTCGAGACAAACTTTATAAATTATAAAGATGGCGGTTATGCGAAAACCTGATAATGCAACGTTACAGAGCTCTCCACTACCTATTTTTCTCGCTTCTTGACTTCCCGCATGAATGAAACGGCGCAAAAATAATTGATCAATTTTGTCCAGAAACGAAAAAATAAACATTTCGGCCTGCTTCAACTCCGGTTTGTGCGAAAATAATGTTTCTTTAATTTTTTGGTTTACTTTTCAGGTTATTGTGTTTTTCGCCATATACTTTTCACGCAACCTGACTTCGTGTATGAACTGAAAACCGCATGAAAAAGATATCAGTTCCTGTTCGCGCGAAAATAACGGTTTTTTTCAGTTTTCGGTTTGGTTCAATACCCTGCAAAAAAATTTTGCAAACGTTTCCGAGTCAGGATTTTTTACAATGGTCAGTTGTTTGGGACAGTGCCTTTTAAAGGATCGCACTGAATGGGGTTTAAAGGGGCAGGGAGGGTAGGAGGGCAATGAAATGTTAAGAATTCCCGTGCACCACCATCACTGAGCCCAACAAGGGGTCAGGTAACCCACCGTAGCAAAAAAAGCTTTGCTGGATACGTTACTCTAACAGTGCTGCCAGGCAGACAGGGGTCCATCACCACCCATGGTTAGCTCTTGCCACCAAAGAAGATGAAAGTGGAAAGAAGAGGAGGAGAGAAAAACAGCGACTGACTGAATGATCCTGGCCGAGCCTCAGCAGGACTCCCGTCTACGAGAGGCGGGGCCGAAGTAGTGTACTGCCCCACCTGGAGGGCCTTGAAGGGTCCAAGCCTAACCCAGGCTGGGCTCAACCACCAGGGTGCCCTTTTTACTCAGACACGGGAAAGCCACGAACAGCCAGGCGATAAGCGCATGCACGTTTCTGATATCCCCGCAGGGGGCACCTAAATTAGTGGGTGTTTCGAAGCGAAAAATAGGGACTCTAACCAAAACTTTAATAAACATTTACCTGACGTTTCGCGACCAGTTCCGTCCCTTGTTCACGGGTGAGTGACGAAAAGAAAAGACACGCGTCGCCTAAATGCATATACTGATGTTGGGGGCTTTGCTCACGTCACGCAGTCCCGAGACGTAGCTGCTGGGCAGGGAGCCCGAAGAACGATTCACATTCCCCTTTGTGTGCTGGATAAACCAGGACTTAACGAAGAGCCGCTTTCGCCGATTCTTCTCCAAGGCCAGCACGGTGCTTCCCTCGAAGTCGACTGTGTGGTCGGCTGCTTCTGCGTGCTCCGCAAGGGGGCTCGCCTCCACATCCTTCTTCCGGACATCATATTTATGACGCGTAAGCCTCACTGCGAAGTTTTCACTTTTGCCAACGCATGAGGCCGGGCAATCTTTGCATGTAGGTGTTTGGTGAGTGGCATCACCACAGACCCGCGGGGCTTGGGGTCTGTGGTGACGCCACTCACCAAACACCTACTAACCGAGGTGCCCCCTGCGGGGATATCAGACATGTGCATGCGCTTATCGCCTGGGCTCTGCCCGTCTGGCGAAGAGGAAATAAAATTAGGACGATCTGTGTCACAGTTCATTTTATTGTATGAATGTTTATAAAGCGGAAGTTTGCAATTGATATCCAACTGAAGAATCCGAGCAGACGCAAAGCCGAAGGCTGGACAAAATGCCATTGCTTCACACCTGCTCCAGACGTGAAGCAATGGAAAGACATATATACCCAGTAGCCAAGATGTCAGTACACCGGCAACTGGTATCCAAAGGAAAACACGAAAGCTGCGAGTCGAAATCACTCGGAAAACACCGATCCAGCGAAGGTTTGCCAGCAGTCACCTGTCACGGCACTTGCTGGAAGGGCAGCCTAGGAGGCGCTATACTCCGTTTCACCTTTGTTGCACCGCAGCCAAGGCCAGAAGCACAAGCTCATAGCGTTGGCAGCTGGCCTCAATCCAAGAGAGCTTGTGCCACCAACCCTAGAGCAAGAAGCTCCCACTTGTAGCCTTTTCTGCAGTACAGCATAAGGTGAAACAGTATACAGTAAACTCTCACTTCAGCAAGTGTCAGTTTCACAAATATTTCAGAATAACACTTTTAAAAAATCCCCGACGGTTTCTTTTTAACTGAAAATGTTTCAGTTAAATGAATTTTGGAATAGCGAATATTTCAGTTCAACGAACTAGATCTGTGGACCCAGGATTATTTTTACAATCAATTCAACAAAGTTTTGTGCTCTGCAGCGGCGGCGTATCAACGCTGGCATGTACAGCACCGCCGAGGCAAAGCGACGGTGCGGTAGACAACCACGCAGTGTGTCTGTGTTTCCTTTGTAATGGGTTCCGTTTGGCCATCCTAGTTTTGGGTAACAAAGGCAGGACGGCAGTTTGTGCACCCACTTTCGTAATGAGTAAGACGAAACGGAAGCGGTGGTCTCTATCAGATAAGCTTAAAATCCTTCAGCATCTGGATAACGGTCAAAGGCAAGTGGACGTTGCGAGGGAATATGGGATTTCACCGTCGACAGTGTCAACGATAGTGAAGCAGAATTCAAAGCTTGAAGGGGAAACTGCATTCAATCCCAACGGGAAACGACTCAGCATGGGATATTTCGAGCTAGAGGACGATGCCGTCGCGGCATGGCTTCATCACAGCAACAAGCTGTGCCAGAACAAGTGCAAAAAAACATAGGCTCTCTGGACAGCTTTCTTACTTCATGGGCTTTAAGAGTGCCGGTGGAAATGAAAATTACAGATTATTTTTTTCAAAATGAGGAGGCAGCAACGTAACTGTTATGCACTTTGGATATACAGTAAACTTTCGTTAGTTTGACCTCGGTTAATTCCAACTTTTCATTTAATTCGATCGTGTTCAAAAGTCCCGACAAGCGCCATACATTTCTATGGGGAGAAACGTTTGATAGTTCGAACTTGGGAAGACTCCGCATCGGATAATTCATCCCGAGCGAATGCACGTTGCAGGGCACCATGGCAGAAAGACCACCAACTAACGGCAAAACACGGGCCATTTGTTACAAAGCCGAACGTGCGCAAATATGCGCCTGCTCCTCTACGCCGTTGAGATGGACCGTAGCGAATGGGACGAGCCAGCGCAACCAATCTGGCGTGGAGTAGCGCGGAGAACATAGCACGTGGTCGGGCGCGGAGACAGCGCACGCTCTCAAAGCGCTTTTCTGTAGCATTGTGTGCGGTCCCTCTTGTGAGCCAAAAAGCGCAAATTCTTTTTTTTTTTTTATGTAGACGGTTTTGTTGTTTGGCGCCAAAATAGGCTTGTAAAACTTACTTTTTTTTTCTTTTTTAGAAAGCGGTTTTTTGGGGTTGTGACGTTTAGTTACGCTGCTCCGGAGCATGCTTTTGGGCACAAGTTTTAAGTGCAGACGGCAGCAGATCGTCCGTGAGTACTTTGGACAATAAAAGGAAGTTTAATTTTAACCGCTTTTCTGTGCTTTTTAGAGCGCAGCTCTTAGGCGCCCGTTTCCGGCTTGAGCGGCGTCGCCGTCGGCGTAACCGCACAGTGCATTATGGGTAAATTTTTCCGAAGGGACCCGAGGTCCTCCCGAAGGAACCCGAGGCCGTCCTGAACGAACCCGAGGTCCTTTGGCAGGACCTCGGGTTTCTTCGGGAAGACCTCGGGTTCCTCCGGGAGGACTTCGGGAGGACCTCAAATTCCTTCAAAAGTTGCATGCGACGGGTTGCATGCAACCCGCTGCATGCAACTGTCATACAACGTGTTGTATGCAACCTGTTGCATGCAGTCCAGGTTGCATGCAACCTGGTGATGTCATCGGCATCCGCATCGTCATCATTACTGATGACGTCATCGGCATCCGCATCGTCGTCATTATCACTGATGACGTCATTGGCATCCGCATCGTCATCGTCATCATCACTGATGACGTCATCGGATCGTCATTGTCAAGGTCACGTGACCCCCCCCCTTCAGTACCCATCCCTCCTCCTCAAGAGCTGCGCTCTAATTCGGCGTTACAGGGAGTTGTAAACGGCTTTCATTTTTTTTAATTCAATCATTCGGATAATTCGATTCAATTTCAAGGTCCCATCGAGGTCGAATTAACGAAAGTTTACTGTATCGATGTACATGACCCCATAAATTGCATTTCACACTTTTGACTGGATGTACGCTGTGCCCTATGCTCTTCCATACTTTAGCGAATATATTCAGTTTAGTGAACTTTCAGTTAAATGAACTATTTCCTTGGGTCCATTGAAGTTCACTCTCAAGTGAGAGTTTACTCTATAGCATCGGAATGAAACAGAGAGAGACTCGCGGAGAGGAGGAAAGAGCGAGAGATTCTCGAGTGAAATCGGGCTTGGCGCTACTTTCAGTATAAAGGAGCTTGAATCGAGACACAGCCCACCCCTCCCCTTTTACGAATTTCAGGCGGCAAGGGGATGGACGATGTCTCGTAATATTACGGCAGTTTCGGTTTCAGAAGGCGATGCACACAAGCGTTTGGTGCAGGCTTGCCACACATTATCACTATTTCAGTCAAACGAAAAAGGATGTAGCAGGGTTGGCCTCTTGGCACAGTTTGGCGCAACTGGCGCAGCAATCACACCACTGTATGTACCACCGAGTGTAGAATTTATATTATAAACTAGTCGCGAGCAGCGAGTCAAACCTGATGGTGACTGCAGATTGTACAGCACGGGCAGACATCCAGCTCCCGGGCATTTATTCCTACCACCTGCCCAGGCGGAAGTTGTACTCGTACAGCTTGGCATCCTCCAGGCAGAAATGTTCGTACACCTGGCAGATGCGTCCCACTTCTTCCACCGTCAGCTGCACCACCCTGGTCTGTGGATCAATCTCGACCAGCTTGACCAGGTCCTTCGCAAGGTCCAAATGGCGGCTGGGGAACAGGTTCCTGCGAGCGGACAAGGACCCTCATGTTGACTGCGCTCTCTACACTCTGCGGAACATTGGCACATGTGCGCAACAACTTTCATCCCATCTGCAGCACGTAAAGGCAACGACAAAGCCAAACGCTGCCCACTGGCCACGAAATCAACCTATGGTCTTGCTACTTCTGCTCTATCATCATCATTGCAGTGAGAAAGAAACATGGCCGCCTCAGAAGCTCCCCACGCTCGCGTGCAGGGAGCCATACACTTTGGCGTTTATTCTGCCGCATGGAAGAAAGCAATCTTATTGGGAAATGATGCTGCACAGTTCGATGCCTCACTGCAACACTCATTCGGCTCAAGATTGAATCATTACCATACTGCAACCAAAATGTCCACTTGTGTGGACACTTTGTTGTCATCTGCTATCAACACACATTGAAAAGCATGAATTCAGATGATGAAAGCCTGACTCCACGTAAGCTGCACTTCCCCTTTTTTCTTGTACGAATTTCTCTATGGTTAACCCATTGAGGACTATTTTTTATTCTGTTTTCATAAGACATATTGCAATACTTTATTTAAAATTGGTAATTTGCGTGACAAACAACGGATTCATTTGGCCTCCAGGTGCTGTTTGTTGCTCACTATTAATTTCAGATCTGTTTATTGAGGACTGTTTCACTGTGTGGTACTGTTTGTACTGTGTGGTACTGTGGTATTTTATAACTGATTGATAATTGCACAGCTGACATTGTCATCCTCACAGAAACGTACGGCTAAGTGCTAATGTGCATGACAGTGAAATATTTCCTCCTCACATAAACTATACTATTTATTGTCGTGATCAACACTCGCAAAACGAAGGTGGCATTCTGGTTGCAATAAAAAATAATGTATCACCCTACTGCAGTGGTTCTCAAATGGGGGTCCGCGGACACTTTCGGGTCCGCGAAGGCATTCTAGGGGTCCGCAAAGCCCTGCCTCATAAGTCAAGCCCGGCAATAAAAGTTGAATTTTTGAGGTCGAGAAGAAATGTTTCAGTTTTCGGGCGAGTTTTCTCGTGTGTATTTCAATAACAGAGGTCTCGTTCACACTAGCCCTTAGTTATATCAATTCATTAAATCATTATTATATTTAACCTACGTAGAATACCGCGCATCCGCCCCATTCCACATTAAGCGCCCATTACCGAATTGGTAAAATCTGAGAAAATACGCACACTACATTTATATGCAAAATGGATGACCAAACAAACGCCCATCTCCCATTTTTTTTTTTTTTAATTATTTCCAGAGTTTGAGTGGGCGCTTGCCCGGTGTTTTACGGTATACCTTTCCCCTCTCCTTATTACGAACGGGGTCCTCCATGATCTCTGCCGATCCACGGGGGGTCCGCGAAACATCTATGGCTGAGAACCACTGCACTACTGCATCAGTCGTAACAGTTCAATCGAATTAATATGGGTTTGCATCAGATCCCCTACTTCCCAAGTAATCATTGGAGTTGGCTACAGGACAGCAGCGAAATTTTTGCTGGTCATCTACAAGATGCCCATGACGAACTCGGAAGCACACATCATAAAGCATCCTTCTTACTGTTTGGAGACTTCAACTGGACCTCCCTCACTTTTGCAGGAAAAACTGCCGCAAATGAATCTAAAAGGTTCCTTGATTTAACGCTTGACTTCACCCTCGCTCAGGTCATTAACACACCAACTAGACTCCGCAACACACTCAATCTCCTGTTTTCAACCACCCCTGAGCATATTCAAAATGTCACTGATTTGTCGGGATTATGTGATAACCAAATCTTAAACATGACACTGTCACTTCCCATCAACAGAAAAATTCCCACGCCAGTGATGTGATTGGTTTAAGCCATTTTGGAGCACCTTTCGAAGCAGCCAAAACAGCGTTTCGGGGCAGCAAAAGTGGCTTTTGGAGCCAGATATTTTCAGAAAAATAAAAATATTTATTTTAAGTGCTGCACAAACCAAACGCAGGGCACTTTGTGTTGTATTGTGTTCTGACGTGACGTGTTCTGACAGAACTCACTGCTTGTGTTTTTACTGCTCAGACATCCCATAAGTGTACAGTGCTGTAGCCGTTGCCGAGCAATTTTGAAAAACCACTTGCCACCATTTTACTGGCTCCCGACGTGCCAGATTTTTGTCAAAAGTAAGCAAACGTAAAACAATGAATTGCAAGCATCCCGGCTGGTGCCTCTGTCGTGCAATCATATTCGCATGCACGTGAGGGCAACTTTGGCAAGCTTGCAGTTGCGCGTGCTTCGTCGCACGAGCGGAGACAACGGCTTTTCGATCAAAACCGAAACCATGCCACTCTGCACCGTAGTCAACTGACTCCCAAAACTGTATGTGAAATGTAGCTGTCGAGCATATGACAAAAAACAGTCCAGCGGCGCGTGCTTGCCAGGCCGGCAACCAAGGTACAAGCTAAACACACACAAAAAAAGAACCTGAGGGCATCGATGTAAGACATTGCGAGCCTGGGTCAAAACGTTCTTGGAGTGCTTTGTGCAATGACTGAACTCGAGACAAAAAAGCGCGCTGTGCGGGCTCAGCGTGCAAACAGTGCCTTCTTTGCTTTAGCTCACTTTTCTTCACCAAGTTTCTTTCGAGGCATATTTTTCACGTACAGGGGTCGAACTTGAAAGGAAGTCCACCGAGAGAAACCTAGGTAGTCAATACTTTGACATAACAGTCTTTGAGTTAAAGAGGGATTTTTGTAGCAACGTACGATTTAAACAAGAACAGGAATGTTGATGAACATGCGGCGGCACTTAGTTGCATTTTAGGAAGCGCCACATCTGCAGCGACGTGGGGACATCAATGCTCGACATCGCGCCACCACGGTGACTGGAAGGCAGAGACCAAATATAGTTTTCCCATGACCGTTGCTTTCATGAGCGAGAGCTTCAGCTAACAAAGTAACTCCCGCCGCGGAAAAACATGGTTTCATTTCACAGCATGACGGCGTGGCTGGTGCTCGGCACGCTAGCGTCGGAGCGTTCGTACACACCCGCGTCTATTGTTGAAAATATCTAAAAAAACACACAATACGAGACCCATTAGACGACGACAGCACGAAACGGCGGGGAAACCATGCAAGACCGGATGGATAATTGGTGCAGGGCACTTTGTGTTGGGCGGCCGCTAGTGCCACCTAGCTCACGCATGCTCAATTACAGTACTCAGTTTAGTTTCGGTTTTGAAAGGAGACCAAAATTGGTGCTTTGGCACAGGCTTGGCGCATATTACCCATATTTTGGCAAAATGTAGCAGGATGTAGCAAGTTTAGCCACTTGGCACAGTTTGGCACAATGGGCTCTGCAATCACATCACTGCCACGCAAAATTTATCAAAGATTACAAAAAAGGAGACTTTGCATCTATTAATACTGAACCTCACGCCTATTACAAAGACTTCAGAGAACACTTTACTTCCAGAACTGTTGAAGAAAAGTGGAACCTATTTCGACATAAGCTGACTGATCTCACTGATGCCTCTATTCCAACCATCTGCCTTAAATCCAGGAGAAATCATCGCCGGTTAAATAAGACCTTCCAAAGCTATAAGTAAGAAAAAGAAACACCTCTATAGCAAAGCAAAACGTACTGGCCTCATCCAAGATTGGAAAGCACACAGAGAATTCTCAAAAGAATATTCCAAAAACATTAAACATGCTAGAAGAAAATTTTTATCTGATGACACACCATCAATTTTTCGCAAGAATCCAACTCAATTTCGGCAGCTTCTATCACCAAAGTTTTATTTTCGATCAGTGCAATTAACCGACAGCAAAATGACCTAACACAAATTGGCGCTCAGTGCGATAAATGGCTTATGCCTCTTAACCACGAGAAAAGCAAACTGATATCATTCACGCGGAAAAATTCTACTATAATTTATCCATACTCTGTAAGCGGGATTATAATCGGCACTGCATCATCAAATAGGTACCGCTGTGTTCATTTGGTTCCTTCACTTTCACGAATTCAGCATATCGTCATTGTTACAGCTTGTTACAGCTAAAGCATCACGCACCCCTGGATACTTAAAACGCCACCGGAAAACAGCCGCCACTCACCTGAGAAAACTGGCCTACATAACATTGGTCCGCCAAAAACTAGGCTCTGCATCGTCCTCTGACATCCTTCACAAACCTACCTCACCGGTAACCCTGAAGTAATCCACAACCGGGCAGCTCAATTTATTACATAAACATATTCTTACGACGCGAGTGTAATACATCTCAAAACAAACCCTAGAGCTGTGGTGGCTAGAGAGTTGGGTGTGTCGAGCGGCGGCTGGCGCGCAGCACCAAAAGGGAAATCTGTCGCCAGGAGGCGCCTCGGAAGGCCTGTATGCTATCCGACCACGGTGTTCTGGCTGCGCTGGGGCCGAAATGCGCTGCGTGCGGACCTTTTCCCGGCCACTTGTCGGCTATGTTTTTTTTACAAAATTAATTGGCGTAGCATAATGAGAGTCTGATAAACCTGGATTTGATAGTCGACCCGATTTTCGAAGCGTCGACGAAGGTAAATGCGCACTTGAAGTCATTCTCTTTTCACCGCAACGCTCTCGGGGTAATATAAAAAAATGGGGCAATCTTTTTTTTTTTTTTAATTTCTCTCGTGTACTATGCTTTCGAAGTACGCGAAACGTCCACCAAGGTATCAGCAGCCGTGACGAAATTTCACGTTTCACGCCGCTGTGTCACGTCTATCAAATGAATCAACGCTGAACGGCGCAGGCACTTTAACATTATATAATGTCTGTGGACATGGATACTTGTTGTGCAATTTCCCTGTGATTCAAAAGCAGACGTGGCTGGCGTGAAACAACGCGAAAATTTGTCATGACGCAAAGCAAACAATGCATTTTTGGCACTTTACATTTTTGTTCAACGTGGAAAACTAGCAATGAAATACAAAATCGATTTTAAAAGAGGGTGAGCGAAGTAACATATTATACATCATAGGGTGCATACTTTCCGGC